CTGATACTGTTCTAGATGAAGCTCTTCCAGCTCTTCAGTGGTTAGCTCTTCCCTGTGGTCATCCAACTCTTCCATATCCTTGCCATTCACCTCCAACCATATGGACTTTCCCAATGCCACAATATCTTCCACAACAGGCAGAGGGTCGGCAGAGTCAGGGTCAGCCTCAAACCCTTCAAAATCCCTCTGGACGACACATTGTAGCCACAGTTGTCTCCAAGCAGAGTTCAAAGTCCTGGAAGTCACTTCCTCCCAAGCCTTACCTATAAGGCTTATGCAGGTGTAGATATTGAAGTGATTCCTCCAGAATTCATGGACCATCTTTGAAAATTTGTCTCGTGACCCATGCCTTATTATTTGCTTTCCACAAGACTCATAACTTGTTCTTAATGACATTGTTTTTCTTAAACACACTGGGATTTTCTGAGTGATACACCAATGAAGGCTTCACGTTCAAATCCCCACTAGCATTAGTACAGAACAAAAGAGCTAGCCTGTCTTTCATAGGCTTGTGTCCTGGTAGTGCCTTTTCCTCCTGAGTAATGTAGGTCCTCTTTGACATTTACTTCCAAAACAGGCCTGTTTTGTCACAGCTGAACACTTGTTGGGGTTTGAATTTTTCAGTGTATACGTACCCCTTAAAATCATTCACAAATTTTTCAGCTGCCCGTTTGTCTGCAATGGCTGCCTCACCATGCCTTACAAAACTGTGTATACCAATACACTTCTTAAATCTGTCAAACCAGCTTCTGCTGGCCTTAAATTCACTCTTAGTACTGGTTCCAGGAGTTTTCTTTACAAGATCGGCATGCAACTGCTTTGCCTTTTCCTGTACATCCTGGCAAACTCCACAAGTCGCACACCACTCTCATATTTTTCTACTATTTCCTTCTTCACGTCTATGGTGTTTCTCACTTTTTTTTACCACAAGGGTATCACTAGCAAGTTTCTTTGGGCCCATGGTAGCTTATTTCACAGTCGCACAAGCACCAAACACAATGAATTAATAGAGAAATGTTTGAATGAGCACGCAGGTTAGTGGTCACTCAAGCATCAACAAAGCCAGACTGGCTCACGATACCTGCGTGGGGATGCGGACGAAGTGGGCAGGCGGACAGGTCCGGTACCTGGTGGTTCGAAATATGGGGCGTGTTCGATACTCGGGACAAAATTGATTCAAAAAAAGCAGTCAAAACTCAAAGTGTTCAATAGTCGATACGTTCGAAACTCAGGGTTTCACTGTATTTTTAAATGTTTTTACAGTAGTGTACTGTATATTGAAATAAACAAAAAGGAAATCAGTCAATATAATTAGGTATAAATACGGGTCGGAGAGCCCATCGTAAGTCTGAGGCGTCGTAAAAAAGTTGTCCTAATGAGGAGGGGCTATTTTTCTTTTTAATTAGTTATTTGTATGTAAGTAGCAAGCTTTCTGAGTATGTAGATAGGTTTTTTAGGACTTGATGTGTTTTGGGAGTGTAGCAAGGAAAACATTCATAAAGGGTTTCGGGGAAAACCCGGCGGGCCTGACTTGAGTCCTGGAAGGGGAAAGACATGCCGCACTGGGAAAAGGAAGGGTTTTAGTGTTTCGTTTTATAACATGTAAAAGGTGCCTTGGCAAGACGATGGAGTGAATGATGAAATTTTTTTTTTTGGGGACCCCCTTTGGGAACACAATGGGCCCATTTTTAAAAAAATAAAAAAATTAAAAATTTTTTACTATGCTATTTTTTTACTTGATTAATTCATTACTCTACTACATTGACACCTTCTTGTATTTTATTTTCCCTTTTTAATAAATAATATACGTGGAACCTCAAAAAATTGAATGCTCCCAACACAACCAATTATGTAAGTGTATTTTGTAATGCTTTTTTAAGTGTATTTTTTAAGGGTCTGAAAAGGGCTAAACTAATTTACATATCCCGAGGGAATAAATTCTTCGGAAAAAAAAGGGATCGAAAGACTTCCGGACCAAGAAAGTTCGATATTTGAGGCTCCATGTATAAAAAAGTGATCAGACTCTGCTACTTTTAAAACATGTCTACTCCTTTTTATATTTTGCTTTGTTTTTAAAATTGTTTCAAAAACTGATATTTTTAATTTTTAACATGAAAATTCTTTCAGTTTCAAGTTGTGGGTTTTACATCTGATGGTACCTAGCTGGGTTCAATGAGTTTTCAATTTCTCAAAGAGCAGCCCAAGTGTTAAAAGTGTGGTGTACCTGCCTGTGCGCTCTAAAAAGAATGTGGGTTGGCCTTTAATTGTATTTTAATTTTTTTGAATATGATAATGTGGAAATAACTTACCGTACTAATAGGAGTGACCACAGTGAAAATGCAATAACCCGGGTTATTTTTTAATAATGGGGTTTATCTTTTGTATATTTGATGGTGTATTACCTGGTGCTGTGGGAAGCCTTTTTTTGTACTCATACTTTGTTTAGGAAATGGTCTTGGGTAAATATTTAAAAACTTGGAGATCCCGCTCTGCTTTGGTTTTTTTTTCTAAAATTATCCATGGTTTATGTGTTTTAGAGCCAAAAAAAACATTCATATTAAGAATCAAAAATGGACAGTATGATGACGTGTGTGGCAGCATTAAAAAAAAAGTGATATTGAGTTTATGTTGATTGTAGAATTATTACAAGTGTTTCTATTTATATTTCCAGTTGTGGGATCCGGGTATCTGATTTCATTTAGCCTTGGCTTTTGCCCTTTTTAAAGATTTGTGTTCAAAGCTGAACACTTTAGTAACCCAACTATCTGCTCAATTATATCTCCATGCACTAGCTTCTAGGTACTGGATAATAGATATTACTCTTACACTTTGACCAGAGTGCACACTAGTAATATAATTGAAAGATCATTCACTTGAAGGGAAATGACACCCATTAATTCATTAGTTAAATGAAACCTGAAAATTTAGGAATGGGATCATGTAGGTACAAGTCTGAATGTTCTAGGTAGTAGGTTGGTAGACAGCAAACCACCCAGGGAGGTACTACCGTCCTGCCAAATGAGTGTAAACGGAAGCCTGTAATTGCTTTACATGATAGCAAGATTGCTGGTGCCTTTTTTCTGTCTCATAAACATGCAAGATTTCAGGTATGCCTTGCTACTTCTACTTACACTTAGGTCACACTACACATGCATTTACAAGCATATACATACACACCCTCTCTTGGTTTTCTTCTCTTTTCTTACAAGTTTTTTTCTTGTTTATTTCTTATCTCCATGGGAAATGGAACAGAATTCTTCCTCTGAAAAGCCATGCATGTTGTAGGAGGCGAATGGGAATGCCGGGAGAAAGGGGGCTAGTAACCCCTTCTTCTGTATACGTACATTGCTAAATTAAAAGAGAAACTTTCGTTTTTCTTTTTGGGGCCCCCCTTTGCTTCAGTGGGATGTGGCCTGTGCTTTTGGGAAAGAAAGTAGTAGTCTGAGTGTAGTTTGAGGGTAATTTGATTTTTGATGTCAGTACACGTCAAGAAAAATGGTGATTGAATGACTTTCTTCTGTCTTGGTGGGAGATGGCCGTTTGAGTTCAAAAAATTGAAATAGGAAGAGTAAAGAATTACGAATAATTTAAGATGACAGTTGTTATTAGAATGAGTCGAGTTGTGTTGTACTTACTGTTTAGCAAAGGGGAAAACCCTTACACTTACTTTATAGGAATGAAATTACATTTGGCATCTTGCACGAAATGTAATAGAGGTAACGTATATACGGCGGCTGGGTAACATAGGAAAGGTAAAAAAGGTGATCTACACATGGGTGACTTTGATAATATCAGTCTACCTGCAAACCACCATAAGATTACAGGTAATAGGTAAGAGTAGTAAAATAGCTGAATTAATAATATTGAGGGTCTAAGTTTGACCATTAAAAGTTTTAATAATAACCAAGGTTAGGGATTAAAAAATCTAAACTACAGGGAAATACAGGGAATTAATTTTGGGCCACAATGAGTGAGTAGAGTACAGTATACAGTGCTCGTCCTGAAAGTATGCTGGCCTACATTCAAACCACGATCACAAAATATAGTACTACCAGTGATTTAGTATTTTGTAGGTCGTCCCTTGCACATAGGACATCCTTTAACTATCTGTAAGCAATTGCCCTAAATTTTTTAGTGTTTTTTGGGGTAAATTCCTCCCACAACTCATGGATGGTGACTTCCAGCCATGGAAGGGAGCTGGAGGTAGATCCTCCTGTAGATTCTCTCACAGCCGAGAGATCAGCGGGATTTAAGTTGTGGAAGTTTCTTGGGCCCAAACATTGAGGAAAGATACTTCAGTCATGAAGCCATTGAACAACTGATTTAATCGTGGGAAAAGAGAACTCTCATACATAAAATCTTTGCACCATACTGAAAGATTCAGGCAAATGATCACAAAACAATTTTAGGTAGTTTTCTGGTTCCTATATTGACTTATAGGCAACACAATCAACTTGCCACTAAAACAAGCCCAAACCATTAGGGATTTAGGGTGTTTTGTGGTATCACAGGTGTAGTGTTGGTCTAAGAAGTTACTGCCTAGGTGTTTGTAAGTATTCCCACCACAGTTACAGGTCACTTGTGAAAGTGACTTCATCACTCCAAAGAACCTCTCTTTGCTGTTCTTTGGTCCATGTTTGGTATGTATTTCTTTGCAAACATGACCACACTTGCTTTGTATGCAGGGGATGCTAGCCCCTCTACACTGCCTGAAAAATCAGGCTAATATATTTTTAAATTATCCTCCTCCCATCAGTCATTTCATGTGGTTTATGGAAGAAATTAGCAATGATGATAATTTAGTTTTATGTTATTTAATAGTTAAAAATATGCTCTAAAATTATTTGATCATTATTATTAACCCAGATGACATTAATAAACTCACTAATTTCTTTTAAAAGGCTTTCATAATATGGTCTGCAGTAATTGTACATATCCACTTCAAATTACCATTGTTAGATTCATTGGTAGATGCACTGAAAATGTACTATGTACCTTAGGTTTTGAAGGAAGATGTAAATATGAAGTTATTAACCAGGGGTGTATATGTGATACAGCAATTGCTTTAGTCTGTAATTCTTACATAATCTTTCTTCTCTTCTTTCAACAAACCGGCCATATCCCACCGAAGCAGGGTGGTCCAAAAAGAAAAACGAAAGTATCTTTTTAACTTTAGTAATGTATACAGGAAATCTTGCATGTATATGAGACAGAAAAAAGACGCCAGCAATCTTACCATCGTGTAAAACAAGTACAAGCTTCCGTTTTACATTCACTTGGCAGTACGTAGTACATACCTCCTGGGTGGTTGCTGTCTGCCAAACTGCTACCAAGGCTTCTTATATAATATACTGATATAATTGTTGCAATGTACTGTATTGTGTACATTATTAATTTTTTAATCTCTGCTGTAAAATAAATGAAATAATTTCTAATTTGTCAGTTAATAACATATCAGTATACTTAAATGCCTAACATTGTAGTAATATGTATACAGTACAGCACTGTATTTAGATTTTTTAAATTTGCTTTATTTCTGTATGAATTATTGATTTTTATTTTTGCAGACTCTCATGGATAGTATGTGTGGCTTTGATATGCAATCCAAAAAGGTTAGTGAAAGACCTTGTTTTCTTATTGGAAAATAAAATATTATTAGTATTTTTTATTATATTTTTTAACTCAACAGCTATCTCTCACCAAGGCAGGGTGACCAAAGAAGAAAATACATTATTATTTTTTTTTTTTCAACAAGTCGGCTGTCTCCCACCGAGGCAAGGGGACCCAAAAAGAAAGAAAATCCCCAAAAAGAAAATAGTACTTTCATCATCATTCAACACTTTCACCTCACTCACACATAATCACTGTTTTTGCAGAGGTGCTCAGAACACAACAGTTTAGAAGCATATACGTATAAAGATACACAACATATCCCTCCAAACTGCCAATATCCTGAACCCCTCCTTTAGAGTGCAGGCATTGTACTTCCCATTTCCAGGACTCAAGTCCAGCTATATAAAAATAACCGGTTTCCCTGATTTTTTTTTTTTTTCTTCTTCTTTCTCTCTCAACAAGTCGGCCATCTCCCACCGAGGCAGGGTGACCCAAAGAGAAAGAAAATCTACAAAAAGAAAATACTTTCATCATCATTTAACACTTTCACCTCACTGACACATAATCACTGCTTTTGCAGGGTGCCCAGAATACAACAGTTTAGAAGTATATATGAATAAAAATACAGTGGACCCCCGCATAGCGAACGCCTTGCATAGCGAACAATCCGCATAGCGAACGCTTTGTTCGCTGAAATTTTGCCCCGCATAGTAGACAAAAACCCGCTCAGCGAACTTCGTCCGAGACGCGTCCAATGTGGGCCCTCAGCCAGCCTCACGTGCCGCCCGTCCCATTGTTTACCAGCTAGCCTCCGCGGTAACATTCAAGCATACACTCGGAATATTTCGTATTATTACAGTGTTTTCGGTGCTGTTTCTGGAAAATAAGTGACCATGGGCCCCAAGAAAGCTTCTAGTGCCAACCCTGTGGTAAAAAGGGTGAGAATTAGTATGGAAATTAAGAAAGATTTTGAAGGGTTTGGGCTAACCCTGAGAAGCCTATGCCAGTTGTGGAATCCATTGTGCCTACTTCAAAAATTAAGGAAATGTGTGCACAGTGGGTTGAACTGCAAACCTTTATGGATGAAAATCACCCTGACACAGCTGTTGCAAGCCGTGCTGGTGACTATTTCAATGACAATGTTATGGCCCATTTTAGGAAAGTCTTGAAGGAACGGGAGGTACAGAGCTCTATGGACAGATTTGTTGTGAGACAGAGGTCCAGTGACTCTCAAGCTGGTCCTAGTGGCATTAAAAGAAGAAGGGAAGTAACCCCAGAAAAGGACTTGCTACCTCAAGTCCTAATGGAAGGGGATTCCCCTTCTAAACAGTAAGAAGATAATGCTCTCCCCTCCTCCCATCCCATCAATCATCACCAGATCTTCAATAAAAGTAAGTGTCATGTAATTGTGCATGCCTTTTTCAGTTTGTGTGTACTAAAATTAACATTTTTTTGTGGTAAAAAAATTTTTTTTCATACTTTTGGGTGTCTTGCACGGATTAATTTTATTTCCATTATTTCTTATGGGGAAAATTAATTCGCATAGCGAACATTTCGCATAACGACCAGCCCTCTTGCACGGATTAAGTTCGCTATGCGGGGGTCCACTGTACACAATATATCTCTCCAAACTGCCAATATCCCAAACCCCTCCTTTAGAGTGCAGGCATTGTACTTCCCATTTCCAGGACTCAAGTCCAGTTATATAAAATAACCAGTTTCCCTGAATCCCTTCACTAAATATTACCCTGCTCACACTCCAACAGATTGTCAGGTCCCAAATACCATTTGTCTCCATTCACTCCTATCTAACACTCATGCATGCTTGCTGGAAGTCCAAACCTCTCGCCCACAACACCTCCTTTACCCCCTCCCTCCAACCTTTTCGAGGACAACCCCCTGCCCCCCCTTCCTTCCCCTACAGATTTATACGTTCTCCATGTCATTCTACTTTGATCCATTCTCTCTAAATGACCAAACCACCTCAACAAACCCTCTTCAGCCCTCTGACTAATACTTTTATTAACTGAATCCCTTCACTAAATATTACCCTGCTCACACTCCAACAGCTCGTCAGGTCCCAAATACCATTCGTCTCCATTCACTCTTATCTAACATGCTCGTGCATGCTTGCTGGAAGTTCAAGCCTCTTGCCCACAAAACCTCCTTTACCCCCTCCCTCCAACGTTTTCAAGGACGACCCCTACCCCGCCTTCGTTTCCCTACAGATTTGTACGCTCTCAGTGTCATTCTACTTTGATCCATTCTCTCTAAATGACTAAACCACCTCAACAACCCCTCTTCAGCACTCTTGACTAATACTTTTATTAACTCCACACTTTCTCCTAATTTCCACACTCCGAATTTTCTGCATAATACTCCCACCACACATTGCCCTTAGACAGGACATCAGCACTGCCTCCAACCGCCTCCTCGCTGCAGCATTTGCAACCCAAGCTTCACACCCATATAAGTGTTGGTACTACTATACTTTCATACATTACTTTCTTTGCCTCCATAGATAACGTTTTTGTCTCCACATGTACCTCAACGCACCACTCGCCTTTTTTCCTTCGTCAATTCTGTGATTAGCCTCATCCTTCATAAATCCATCCGCTGATACGTCAACTCCCAAATATCTGAAAACATTCACTTCTTCCATACTCCTTCTCCTCAATTTGATATCCAATTTTTCTTTAGATAAATCATTTGATACCCTCAACACCTTACTCTTTTCTATGTTCACTTTCAACTTTCTACCTTTACACACACTCCCAAACTCATCCACTAACCTTTGCAGTTTTTCTTTAGAATCTCCCATAAGCACAGTATCATCAGCAAAAAGTAACTGTGTTAATTCCCATTTTGTATTTGATTCCCCATAATTTAATCCCACCCCTCTCGCGAACTCCCTAGCATTTACTTCTTTTACAACCCCATCTATAAATATATTAAACAACCATGGTGACATTACACATCCCTGTCTAAGACCTACTTTTACCGAGAAGTAGTCTCCCTCTCTTCTTCACTCCCTAACCTGAGCCTCATTATCCTCATAAAAACTCTTTACAGCATTTAGTGACTTACCACCTATTCCATATACTTGCAACATCTGCCACATTGCTTCTCTATCCACTCTATCATATGTCTTTTCTAAATCCATAAATGCAATAATAACTTCCCTGCCTCTATCTAAATACTGTTCGCATATATGCTTCAATGTAAACACTTGATCTACACATTCCCTACCCACTCTAAAACCTTCTTGCTCATCCGCAATCCTACAATCTGTCTTACCTCTGATTATTCCAATAATAACCCTATCGTACACTTTTCCTGGTATACTCAGTAAACTTCTTTCTTTCAACACACCGGCCGTATCCCACTGAGGCAGGGTGGCCCAAAAGGAAAAACAAAAGTACGTACTCAGTAAATTTATTCCTCTATAATCATAGAATTGATGAGGGAAAAAAGGTGAGTTGTGCGTTGAGGTATATGTGGAGTAAAAAAACGTTATCTGTGGAGGCAAAGAAGGGAATGTATGAAAGTATAGTAGTACCAATGCTCTTATATGGGTGTGAAGCTTGGGTGGTAAATGCAGCAGCGAGGAGACGGTTGGAGGCAGTGGAGATGTCCTGTCTAAGGGCAATGTGTGGTGTAAATATTATGCAGAAAATTCGGAGTGTGGAAATTAGGAAAAGGTGTGGAGTTAATAAAAGTATTAGTCAGAGGGCAGAAGAGGGGTTGTTGAGGTGGTTTGGTCATTTAGAGAGAATGGATCAAAGTAGAATGACATGGAAAGCATATAAATCTATAGGGGAAGGAAGGCGGGGTAGGGGTCGTCCTCGAAAGGGTTGGAGAGAGGGAGTAAAGGAGGTTTTGTGGGCAAGGGGCTTGGACTTCCAGCAAGCGTGCATGAGCGTGTTAGATAGGAGTGAATGGAGACGAATGGTACTTGGGACCTGACGATCTGTTGGAGTGTTAGCAGGGTAATATTTAGTGAAGGGATTCAGTGAAACCGGTTATTTTCATATAGTCGGACTTGAGTCCTGGAAATGGGAAGTACAATGCCTGCACTTTAAAGGAGGGGTTTGGGATATTGGCAGTTTGGAGGGATATGTTGTGTATCTTTATATGTATATGCTTCTAAACTGTTGTATTCTGAGCACCTCTGCAAAAACAGTGATAATGTGTGAGTGTTGTGAAAGTGTTGAATGATGATGATAGTATTTTCTTTTTGGGGATTTTCTTTCTTCTTTTGGGTCACCCTGCCTTGGTGGGAGACGGCCAACTTGTTAAAAAAAAAAAATTTTTTTTACAATCTTTTGTCCCCCTTCCCTTTATATAAAGGAACTATACATGCTCTCTGCCAATCCCGAGGTACCTTCCCCTCTTTCATACATTTAATAAACAAAAATAGCAACCACTCCAACAGTATATCCTTCCCTGCTTTTAGCATTTCTGTCATGTTCCCATCAGTTCCAGCTGCTTTACCCCCTTTCATTCTATGTAATACCTCACACACCTCCCCCACACTCACATCCTGCTCTTCTTCACTCCTACAAGATGGTATACCTCCCTGGCCAGTGCATGAAATTACCGCCTCCCTTTCTTCTTCGACATATTCTCGCCATATACCCAATACCTCCATCTCCCCATCTACTAACTTCCCTACTCTGTTTTTAACTGACATATCCATTCGTTCCCTAGGCTTTGTTATTATTATCATATTTATTAATTCCATCCACATCTACTAAATAGTATAATGTTATGTTCTGTTTATTTAAAGTCAAATTGGTTTTATATCTTATAGATATTTTCCATTCAGTTAAGTTCAGGTGTGGTTACCTACCTGATTAAGAACTACAGGCTGTCTTCATTTACTGACAGAGTTATGTTCCTAAGACCATGTCGGTAAATGAATTCCTCACTAATTGAGGAACCACCCCTTACTGATATGGGTCGGCCATCACTAATCCAGCAATCAGTCATCCAGTTC